GACATAACAAAAGGTAACTGACTACAATAAATAAGGACTCACAGAATGAGAAATAAATTAATCACCTTAATTTAGATCAGAAAAGACTTGATCAAAGAAGCCAAATTTAAACCAGACTGCCCTCCTTGATCTCTAAACTCCAAACTACTTGGCTTCTCCCTCATCAGGCTATTGTTTATGACTCTAGGGTATCCTTTTGTACTTGTAGCAAAAGGTTGATTATGAAGTAATCTAACAGTCCCGATGTGGTTCAATTATTCAGCAACCTATCCCATGGTTCCCTAAACCGTGGCCTGGTAAATTGGCAATTACAGTATCTTTGGGTGGTTGTTTTTTAATAAATTCCTTTTAATTTCAGCATTAAACCCCAGATGTCGTGTTTCCAGGTTTCCAGTTTGGACCTAAGCCAAGCTGGAAAAGACATCCACTCAAGGCAAACGGCTAATGAGAATGTGTGCAGTGAACTAGGGGACTCGGTCCAGTTGCCAAACCTCAGACTTTGGGCCCCCTGATCTAGTGCTGCAGGACACTTAGGGACCCCTGGCTAGAGTGGAGGATGAAGCAAAGCTACCATGTTTCCTACAGCATCCACCCCTCCCCAAAACATCCAGGTTTACTCTGTTTCTAAGAGTAAAAATTCCCAATAAGTGACTCATTATCACAACTTAAATAACGTACTAATTTCATTTGATAAGTAAATTGTCAACAGCCTTTAAAAATTGGTCATGGAATTAGTAAGTCTATGCATTTCAACCTCTTCTTCCATTTAGATGAAATAGTCATTAAGCCAGACTGTAATCAGACAGAAAGAATCTTGAAACCTTCCAGGCATTCTTTTTTCATCTCTCATTTGCCTCTTTAATTGCTACCTTTCTGTATTTTAGGCGGTAGTAGAGGTAAAACGCCCCTCTTCTTATTGTAAGACTTTAGCTTGTACTAAAATGTGTAACAAAGGTTTCTTCTGCGAACTTTCTTTTAAATGTTAAAATCCAAATTATTTTATCAAAAATCTATACATTGTGTTTTTATATAGAGATGCTTGTAGCAGTTTGTTTTTTAATAGTAAAATTTTAGAAATACAAAATAAGGGAATGGTATTCCATTCAGTGGAGCAGCCGTTTAGAATTGTTTACCAAAAGGTTTTAATGAAATCCAATGGCAGGATATGGAATTGTATATATAGGCCACAAACATAACTTTAGGTTTTTTTCTCTTTTTTAAACACACATATGTAAAATCAAAGTCTAAAAACAAAATACTCAATTAATTGTGGTTATTTGATAGGTAATGGGCTTGTGAGTGATTTCTATTTTTTATATAGTTTATATTTTTTTAGTTTTCCGGGGAGTATAAATTATTATAATAATTAAAAATGCATGTGTGTTTGTATATATTTTAATGTAATCATTCAACACTTGAGCTGTTTAGAACTCAGCTATCTGAAAAATCTGGACCACTGCTAAGATCCTGGAAGTAATAAAAAAAATTAACTCTGAGCAGCCAAAACTAATGTTACAAAACTCATAAAGTCAAGCATGATATGCCCCTCACTCAGGCCTTTGTACTCTTACTTTGCACACAGTTCTCGGGCCATCCACCACAGGCGGGCACAGCGAGCCCAAAGCAGACATTAACAATAGACAAGGGCCTGCAGACGAGGGCACTGTCTCAGGCGCACCGTCAGTCCGGCGGTGAGAGAGGACCCAGGGAAGCTTGGGTGAGGGCGGGAGAGCCTGAGACCCAGACTCAACGCCACTGAGTGTCCTGTCATCTCTTCCCCTTGTCACAGTTCAGTCATACATGTTCATATCGATAGCCCAGCGTTATCAAGAAGATCCCCTTCTCTTCAACTTACTCTCTTTAAGATTATAAGAAAGACTTTAATAAAAAGTTTCCAAAGGTCTTGTTACATGTGGCTAAAAATGGGGGAAAGACAACATGTGGTGATTGAAGGGCAAACTCTAGACACGGAAACTTTCCTGACTACCTATAATAACTGATTTCTTTACCATTCTCCAGGGGGAGCATTTTCCTATTACTTGGGCTTTCCAAATTGTATCTGATACTGTCATTACCTGGGTTCTCCTAAAAATCTAAAGGAACTTTGATGTCAGGATGTCAGAAAATGCTAAAGTCTCTACCTTGCAAAACCTTAGAATCCATCCATTAAAATAGGAGTAGCACCCCAGAGCTTAGAGACAGGCTGGGTGGGTTAAATGAGAAAGCCTGTGTAATGGCATTTAGCTTGAGGTCGGGCATTTCATTAGCAGTTAGCAAATGTTAGTTGAATCTGAATGTGACGTTCCCACTTGGGATGCAACAGACAGCATGGGCTCTGGAAGCAGACCGAATCTAGTTCAGATGTGGGTTCTGCAGCCTTGAACAAACCACATAACCCATCCACCTACCTACCTTTGCCACAAGGTAGATGTGAGGGTTCAGCTTTATTGATGGGCAAGAAAATCATGGCTCCCTTCCCATTATAGTTGAGGGGAGGGATGTCACACTTTGTTAGTTTTCTGTTGTACAAAGTTGTGGAGAGCTTTCAGAGAGTCTCAGAATCTAAGAGGGCTACAAAACCCCCTTTCCTCTTGTGTCGTAAGCACAGCTTGTTGTGCCCAAGCCTGTTCTCCTGCCCTGCCTTTTATCAGCCCCCCTGCAGCCCAGCAGAGAAGCGGAACAGGGTGCTTGCGGGGTGGGGGCGAGTGGCAGTGGGGATTATCCTGTCGTTCACCCTTCATAGCCACGAGTGGTCGAGCCCCTGACCTCTGGCTGTATTCCAGCAATAGCACCCTTCAGCATTCTAGGCTGGTTCACGTGATGCATCCCCCACTCCTGGGCTGGGGTGGCGACTGAAAGCTTGGCCTGGCTGCCCAGAGTAGAAAGTCTGTGGGTGGTGCTGATGCTCTCTTTTGGTTTGATTCCCTAGGCCCCCTGCAAAATCATTTAGCGAGGGATACTGTCAGCAAGTGGTAGAGTAAAAACAACAAGGTTGGCAAAAATGTGTGGCTTACCCAATTACTGTGAGTTTTGACAACATATTAACTGAAAACCTAGATTAAGGCCAGTAGATTTCTCTCTGTTTTGTTTCTCTTGAGAACTAAAAACAGTAATTTGCTGGTCTACTTGCCTTGTTTTCTATGCGCACCAGTGGCCACCCCTGATTATGAAATCTCTCCTGGCACCAACACTTACAGCCAAGCTACGGAGTCTGATGAGCCCATGGATTAGCAGCCTGGTGGTTGCCTTTTTGCAAGAAGAATAACCCTTTCTTAGGTGTCTGAGACCACAGGCATAATCGAGCATCAGAAAAAATCTGAGAAAAGAGGGAGCAGGCAGCTGGTACGAGGGCTTGTGGCTGTGGACAGAGGTGGAAGGGGCCCTAGATCCTGCCTTCTTTTTCAGGGCACTTATCACAACTGTAATTTGACAATGTATTATTTCGGTAATTATGGCTGTCTTTCTCCTGCAAGACTGGAAGCTCCTCAGAGGCGGACCTGCTCTGTCTTGCGTGTTTCCCCTCCCCAAGGCCTGGCTCGTGTGATAGCTGTTTGGTGGGTGGGTTTAGTTTCAAGTCTAGCCTCTGTGCCTGCCTCGTAGCTGCTGTTTTGTGAGCAGCCACTTCTCTGTATGTGTCCTCCTCTGAAGAATACAAGTCAAACGGGTCTTGTGTTTGCACCTCCTGTCTCTGGGCCCAGTCTTTTCATACCGGTGTATTGAGCTGACTGGCTTCATCCAAGTGTAATATCTAGAACAGAGATCGGTACTCCAGGATGGCTCAACTAGCACAGCATATCACATGACCATCATTTCCAGGGTCTAGATGCTCGACTTCCATTAAGTAGTGATTATTTATTGTTTCAGACTCAAGAGTAATAGTGTATTACCCTGCTTTCTTGACAGGGTTTTTGTGAGAACCAAGTGTAACGATATATATGAAATTACTTTAGAAACGAAATGCTTTGTATAGCGAAACAGTGATTGTTATTGCGGGCCCTAAAGTCTCTCTTCCTGAGAAGGAAGTGAAGTTCAGAAGAAGGCTCTGAAGACCGAGTATTGTCAACCCTGTGTGTTTGCACATGTGTGTAAACCATGTGTGTTTACATAGCCTTATGAAGGAGAAGCAGTTTTCCAAGTTAATGTTTCATTAAAAGAAATAGCTGGATCTAGGTATTAGATAATAACCTCTTAGGCAGGTATAGACACAGGTGCAGACCCCCACCCCGCCGGTTCCGTAACGCGCTGGGTGTCAGAAAAGCTGTTGATCACTGAGTTGTGAGTCAGGGGTTTTAGTTTAGCCTGCCACCACCTCCCTGAGGTTATCAGGAACAACTCATTTAACTTCTCTGCCAAATAAGGATGCCTGCTTTATGAAGATAAAATAAGAGTTGAATTTTTTTTTAACATTTATTTATTTATTTTAGAGAGAGAGAGCACAAGCAGGGGGAGGGGCAGAGGGAGAGGGAGAGAGAGAATCCTGAAGCAGACTCCCCCACTGAGTGCAGAGCCTGATGCGGGGCTCAATCCCAGGACCCCAAAACCATGACCTGAGCCAAAACCAAGAGTCAGCCGCCCAACCGACTGAGCCACCCAGGTACCCTAAGAGTTGAATATATAAAACAAGAATAAGAATATTGATAGCACTTCAGGCCCCTGGGGTTGATTACATCCCTCAGATACTTTTCTTTCAGATCCCATGCCTCCAGTTACTTCAACTCTTCCCCACACGACATCGTTTCCATCCCCCATCCCACCCTGAGCACTGTCCTCTGGATATAGTTTAGTGTGTCTTGTATCCTTCTTGAAGGAAGCTCTCAAACTTGAATTCAGAATGCTTCATGTTTTTTCTTGCATTTGGACACTACAATTAATGCTAAGGTTGATTATTATCAATTTTTATTCTCTCAAACCTAAGTATGTCGTTTCCTGTCTCTGGGTCCAGAAGGCTTAGGCTGAGTTCAGAAGTTGAAAGTAACTTCTCATTTTTGTTTGTCTTCCAGCGACAGACATCACACCTCCAGTGCAATCCCTGTTCCAAAGAGACAAAGCTCCATATTTGGAGGCGCAGATGTAGGATTCTCTGGGGGGATCCCATCCCCAGACAAAGGACACCGAAAACGGGCCAGCTCAGAGAATGAGAGACTCCAGTACAAAACCCCTCCCCCCAGTTACAACTCAGCGCTCGCCCAGCCTGTTCCCGCCATCCCTTCCATAGGAGAGTCCGAGAGAAAGACAACATCTCTGTCCTCCTCCCTGGATACCTCCTTGGACTTCTCCAAAGAAAACAAGAAAAAAGGAGTTGCTTTGGGTGACAGATTAAACGGAGGTCATGCGAGTGTAAACACTAGCCAGGAACAAGAAGAAGCCCTCTCCGGGCATGCAGCCACCGTCAATGGCACTCTGCTGCCCAGCGAGCAGGCTGGCTCCCCCGGCATCCACCTCCCGGGGGACTTCCGCCCAGTCTCAGAGCCCGAGCTCTGCTGTACTGTGGAGCAAGCAGAAGAGATCATCGGCATGGAAGCCACAGGTTTCACCTCAGGCGATCAGCTGGAAGCCTTTAACTGCATCCCAGTGGATAGTGCCGTGGCAGTGGAGTGTGACGAGCAAGTTCTGGGAGAATTTGAAGAGTTCTCCCGAAGGATCTATGCACTGAATGAAAACGTGTCCAGCTTCCGCCGGCCACGCAGGAGTTCTGATAAGTGAAGTGAGCAGACAGCCAGTAGGACCAGGACAGAGGTGCTGCCTAAAAGGATAAAGCTGCACTGGTTACCCCTTGTAATAATTATGACACAAAATGAATATTAATTAATGGAGGATATTCCTCAAAAAACAGACTTTGTAAATCAAGGAGGGACTCAGGATCATGTGTATCAGTGGGCCAAACAAAGTTAGATTTTGCTTGCAAGATTTGCTTTTCAGGCCTGACGATCGTTTTAAGGCAAAAGTCACTCTCTAGCTCGAGTCACCGTATAGGTATCTGTCTGCTTTTTAATTTACACTTCTGTGCTATCCTTGGAGGGGAGATGATAATATATAAATAATATAATAAACTCACTTTTAGTTTCTCATAAGCATTTGCCCTCACCATAGTGTATAAAGCTTGGGAAAACCAAATAATCCAAAAAAGGTTTTCACCATTTACTGAAAGACCTTTGACCATCCATGAGTTTGATGAATAAGAAGCACAATGGTCTCCTTACACCCAGGCCTCCCTGCCCCCGCCCCCCGTCACCCCATCTGCTGCCCCATCTTCACAGTGGATGGGTTGTGCACCCTGAAAACTGAGGACATCAGATCCACTGGTTCTTGAATGCAGAAGCCAACACCTTCCACCTCCTCACCTCAGCCATACCTTGGTATAACCCTGAAATCAGAGGAAAAACCTCGCCTCTGTGGTAGATCCCAGGGGACGCTCAAGGACACCCCACCCCCCCGCAAGGTTACAACAGTCAGATGGCATCCAGTCCCCTTTGGGAGCCAGAGTTTCTATGTGGGCAGATGCTATAGTCCAAAACCAGGCATGCTCTCTGGCAATGCACTCACCAGACAGAAATCCCTATATGTAAATTCCATGCTGATGTATTAAATTCCAGCTGGAAAGGAAGGTGCTGGGTAGGATGTAGGATCTGGAGAGAGTGAGGCTGTCTGATGTGCAGACCACAAGGCAGTTGGGCTAACTGGATGAAGAGGCGTAGATGAGGCGTAGATACCATTGGTGTATGTGCAGGTGCATTCGTAGTAAATCATGTTCTCGAAGTCCGGTTTCATTCCTGGAGCTCAGATCTCATTTGCTTTGCTCTATACTCTATATACCCAAGGACATTGCCTCAGGGTTGCAAGCTTTTTAAGGAAAATGTATGCATATATCCATGTATTGTATAGAAGAATAAAAACTGAAGTTGCTTCACTTGACCCGATCTGTTTTTTCCAGTTTTGACATTCATCTTGAACCTGCATCTGCATGTTACATCATGACAGGGCGAGCCTGAACCAAAACTGTGGCTGTGTCCACACTAATGTCGTTGGCTTGAGTCGACATGGTTTGTGTAGCCACACAGACACCCTCACACACACGCACCGCCTGGTAGTTCAGCAACAGCTGGACTCTGAGGTCTCGCGGTCCTTTTCGTATATTATCTAAGCACTCTTGGGCTCAAGTTCTCACTGACAACTACATTATCAAGGAGAATAGTTCATGTTGTTATTTTCCACATAAAGAAATCTCACTGAATCCATGCTTGACAGACAGACCCGACCTGCAAGCAATTAAGAGCTTTAACTTGATCTGGAGAAATCCATCTTATTCCACAGAAAGAGGTGGAACTCCTCCAGACCTGACGCAGAAGCCATCTGTCGAGTCACAGCTTCTTCGCAGTGTACTGTCACTCATGTTAGAGTCCACGAGGGGGGAGATAGCCGTGGGCCTGGCTCTATGTCAGACTGGGCTGTGTGGAGCCCTCCAATGAAATAACACCCACCTGCACCCCCCAAAAGGACAAGGTTTTGGAAGGACTGTGTTAGTATTGAACAATGGGAGGCGTATCACATGTGGCTTAAGGTCCACAGATGGGAGTGGACTTTAAACTTCATGCCAGACTTAAAGACAGGGTACACTGAGGTGCAGGTCCTGGAGCCTGGGTCTTGGCCATCCCCCTGCTTGGATGAGCACCCCTAGTTACAATGTTCATCTCGGGTTCCACACAGCCAGACAGAGCCCGGGGCTCTGGGGCTCTGTCAGTCTCCTGTCTTGGACTTCCTAATTCTGGGACCCACAGCACGGAGCCCTGTCGCTGAAATGTCATTAGCTCAGAACCGGTTACCCATGCGCTGGCTCGGTCCACACTGTTCAGTGACGTTATGCCTCACAGCGCCACCCCCTAGGTTTGGGTTCCTTTGGTTTGGATTTCAGGTTTTCCTTGAGTTTGTTCGGTGCCTCCAGTTGCGGCCTTGCCTTGGGTAGAACCTGCAGTATTATATATCTCCAGGAGGAACTCTGCTCGACATTTTCCAAAGCTGCAGAATTCGTTTTGCTTCTGTTTAAAGTGTCCAAGGGCAAAATATGAGATGAGTTACTATCTCCTACTAATCTTTTTAATTAGTCTTGTAAATCACTAAAAAATAAATAAAATCTGCTTTGAGGATATAAGCTGAAATGCAAATCACTGCTATCCATGTCAGAACTGCTAAGAGCCCTTTCCGTTTTCATGTAGCTGAGACAATTTTAACAGCCGGCAAATGTTATCAAATGAATATTTGATTGTGTTCTCTCTCTCCACTTCCCCTTACCCACTTTAGAAATTCCAGAGATTTTTTTTCCCCCCTCAGAATATTAGTTTTGGAAGATTGTATCCAGCTATATTTTTTTAGCAGTTCTAATGGTGCCCATTTATCTTGACCTAACCGGTTATTTAAATAATTTTTTAAACCACCACCAATAATAAATGGCATGTGAAACTGATCTGTTGGTAATTGGAAGAAAACTCAGCATCTGTATTTATAAAATAAAATTGATTAGTATTTATTTTGAGAGTAAAAGTGTATGTTATTTCCCTGCCATGTTTGAGTCCTGTCTTCTTCATTGTTTTGAACTTCATGTTGAAGCTGAGTTAACTATGAAAACCTTGTTCGTAAAACCGTCAACCAGCCATTTCACATTTACTGAGCTAGCTCTTTCTCTGTGAGGGACTGGGCTAAGCAAGGTTAATACAAAGATCAATAAGCCTTGGCCTCTGCCATGTGCTCTAGGGGTGGAGGGTAGGGGATGGGCGTATTGATGCGTTAGAATTCAGTGTGATCAATTCTGTGATGGAGAGATGTATAGCCAGGGTGTGGAATGCAGAGAAAGCTCACTGACTCAGGGATTGGGAAAGGTTCGTGGAGGTCATGCAGATGAAAGCTAGATAGGATGAAAGATGTCTAAGACATTGCAGGTGGAGGGCACAGCATGGGCAAAGGCCCAGAGGCAAGGCAGGGCCTCGAGTGTTTGCAAATTGGCAAGTTTCCCCCGCTAGTGGCCTGAGTGGATGTGAAGAAAGGTGAGGAGAGATTGAATTGCAGGCCAGTGGGGAAGGCCGTCAGGTGCCGAGACAGGAGATTCAGACGCTTGCGGGAGGCGGGAGGGGGCGGGGGGGGCGCGGAGACACAGCTGGGAGGCACCCTTTCCAGGCGGTGAAGCAGAAGAGTAACTTGGTTAGATCTGAGTAGCAGCCGGCAGCCAAGTCAGGGCTGGACTTTAGTAGTGGTAAGCAGACTTGAGTCTGTTTGATCTTCTTTCCTATTTTGTTGTGAAGAGAAAAGGAGTCTATCTGAAAAAGAGGCGCCTCCTTGCGTCCTGATGTTTTCAGGGTAAGTACTGGGTAACGGGCAGGGCAGGTACTGGGCGGACACAGCGCAGCCAGCATCTGATCTGCAGAAGCTGACTCCCAAGGCCCCGACTCGGCCACTTTGAACCTGTGACCCTGCTCAAGTCATTGAATTTTTAAGGGCCCCCACCCCCCTGCCATTTCTTAAGCTAAAAAATTGGAGTGAACTCTATCCTTACCCTTATGTTTCTATGGGGCCTGTGCCATCATCGGTGGTCCCTTTTGTTGTACAGGAGGCCACCGCCTAGTGACAGGATGCCCAAGACTTGTTCTCACCATTTCCCGTTCTAACACTTGGGCACAGCCACCTCATCTCTGAATCTGGCCCCTGCTCTGTGGAGTAGGGATGGTGCCCCCCCCACCCCCACCCCATGCAGAGATTAATATTTTTATGAAAGCACTTAGTGATCACTGCAAAGCACCATGCACACTGGGAGAAGTTAGTCCTTCAATAAGGATTTCTGGCATCATCTATACCGGGCCATGGGGGGTGGGGGGGGCAACTGAATTGCAGATATTTATTCTGTACACATTGAGAATGTGTCAGGGCTGAAACTGGGCTTTTGAAAAACTAAGCTCTAAACAAATGTCAAGTGTTCTGAGGTGTTTTAGTGGGTGGTATGGACACAGTGTTGAGACGTGGTCTATAAGCCTAATTAGCTTAATTTGCATGTTTTTTAACACCTGGAAGATGAGCTTATTCAGGCCCACCTCAACCATAAATATTCTCTTAAACAGCCCCTGGCCGCCTCACCACATGCTGAACTGGTGCCCAGAGCTCTTAATTTTGCTTGAAGTAGATAGAAGCTTTTTCTTTTTTTTTTTTTCTCCCCCTCCTAGCGCATCTAATTACAGTTTTGTAGGTAGACAGCTCAGCCTTGTGGATTTTAAATGAATAAAAAACACGTCTATAAAATAATTGCACACATTTTAGAGGCTGGCGATGTCAGCAATCCAGAAGAAGAACGGTCGAGTCTGGATAAAAGCGAGAAAGACTGCCAGTTGGCGAGGCCGGCCGTAGCCAGCTGAGCCCCGGGGGGACATCACAAGTGGGCCTGCCGCAGGCGGGGATCCCTTCGGTTCTGTCCAAGACACAACTGCAATCAGCTTCCCTCAGTCCCCGTTAATTACAGGCAGCAAATTCAGAGGAATGGAGGGTGCGAGTGGACAGAAATACGGGGTAACCTGACTCTCAAGAAGCAGATACTAGCAGGAAGGAAGCGGTCTGGATGTATGAGCAAGGAGCCCGCGGCCTGACACATCCCACCCAGCCTGCTGTGTGACCTGAACAAGGCCCTTGACTTCTCTGAGCCCATGTGATCCTCTGAAAAGTGAAGCTAGCCCCTTGCTCAGGTTTTCCCTTGTGCCCGGACAGAGGTTCTTCTTGCCTTAAGAGCAGTTCGGTATTCATTCTTCAAAATCTGCCTCTGCTGGCCTTGGGCTCCAGAGCATGGTGGAAAAGGAGAGGACCCTCCCCTGTCCCTCTCTGCCTGTGGTGGAGAGCTTGGGGCTAAGCCATTTAACACAGCCTACTTCTGCTCAGGGATTTGTGTGCAGCAGAACAGCCATCTACTCGAGATCCTTGTGAAATCTATAACAAAAATTTAAAAAAACTCAGCTAGAATAACTTTTACCGTTCCTAAAGATGGCCCTCTGTCCTCAGGAAAATGATAAATTAGTTTTAGTTTGATAGGACAGTGTATAAAATATTTTAAGGGATATGGTTGAACTAAGTTTTGATATTTTAGGATAAACACGTTCCCTCAAAATTTTACTTGCAAGAAAATGTTTACTTCACTTACAGGGAGCAACCTATTCCTTGAAGAAACAGGCATCACTTCGTGTCCACAGATTGCTTGCTCTTCGGGTGAGGGGCTTGGCCACACCTTGTTACTGTGATGGGCAGAGAACCCCCTCCCCGCCCCAGGCTACCTCTCATGCGGATGGTACGGGAGCTTTTGCTCCTGCAAAAGAGGTCCCTAAGGCTTGCTGACCTCGAGGCCACACCCTTTGCTTCCAGAAATCTTCCAGTTGTCTTGACCGCTCTGGCCCCAGCCCTGTCTGAGCTCTCCGGTGGCACACGGCAGGTTCTCCTGAAGTTGGGGGCATGGCAGGATGAAGGCATAGATGTGAGGATTTTGTAACTCACCTGCGCCTGTCTCTTGGTCCCTTGGGAGCTCTGTGGGTGCCCAGCGTGCCCAGAGTCAGCCTCAAAAATCACTGGCGACCTTTAGAGGCAGAACTGTTCACGGATTAGCTGAGACTCTGGAGCGGGGCTTTTGTAAACAGTAAAAAGAGGTGCACGTTTGAGGGATTATCAGAGTTTCAGTACACATCCTGAGTGGGAATGAGCCGCCACTAGCTGGGAAACCAGTGCAGGGGCTGAGCCGGCCGCCGTACAGGTACCTGCCCTTCGACGCCGTGACTCCTCAAATGTGTGGTGTGTCCTGTCCCACCCCAGCTGCTTCCATGACAGCATCTGATGCTGAGGACAGCCGTGGGGAGATGGGGGCCATGTGTTACCATCACCACCTGACCAGGAAG